ATAATAGTCATCCTCAGGAAACCACTATTTATTACTCCCTTTCCACTGGGATATTTTTGATTTTTCTTTTTTCTTTTTTTTTTCTTTTTTGTTTAAACTACACACTGTTAAGCTAAAAGTATTGAATTTATTTTGTTTTGTTTTTTAACAGAAGCTTTGATATCAGCTGCAGATCACTCAGTACATGGCTGAGGCAAATCTACATTGGCCCGAAGCAGCTCTAGATGAGCCCATTGGCTAGTTTGTTCTTCCCAATTCGTGATTGGAGAATTCAGGCCATGTTGTAGGGCTTGGTAGACAAAAAGTTGTTACCCTAGGCAGCTGGCCAAAACATTAACTTTTGAAATTTCTCACCCTGCTACAGAATCTTCTCTAAAGGCAGCAAGATAATATTGTGGCGTGCACAAATAACATCAGGGCAGGCTTGACTGGAGAAAATCAAATTCTGCGCTTGCTCTTATGTGTCCTCAGCCAGCTCTGTGTGCACACACAGGACACCTTTCTAGTATGAAGAACTTGCACCATGTCTGCCCCCTACTGAACCCCTCCAGAAATACTGCCGAGTGTTAGTATCTGAACGTTGACCTCAGTCCCCAGTGTTTTCTGCTTGGAAAGCATGTCTGGGCACTCAGTACAGTTTCTCAGCTTGTTCTCCTGCCCATGGTCATCCACAGTGGGATTGACTAAGGATTACCCTACCTCTGAAGATGTGATCATGGAGCATAATTTCCCATGCCCCCACCTCACATCCATTCTGGCCCTGTACATTTTTGTTTTTCCTTTATTGCATCAACGACCCTAGCCGGAGACTCACGCTGCCCCCTGTGATGACTGCCTTCTCGTCTTTCTGGTGTGATTTCAGGACTTTAGGGGTCAGTAAAGACTGAGGAGCCTTTATTGTAATAAGAAACAGACATAATGCCCCCTTTCTTCACAGGCCCTTTAACAATAGCTGATTTTGTGTTTTTTGTTTTTTGTTTTTTTCTTAATCATCGCCCCTTTTCCCCTGAAATTAATCCAGTCTGGGCAATAGATGCAGTCTGACCCTTTGGATGTAACTTACATTTTTTTATTAATTATTTTTTTCTACAATCACCCCAATTATCCTTGGGGGAGGCGTTGGAGGACCTGAAATTTTTACCCGAACCCAGGTTCTCCGGCGCTTGGCAACCAAATGGGGCTACAGAGAAGCATCTAAGCCAGTTCACAGAGCGAGCGTGTGTGGGGACTTCTCACTGCCACGGACCCTTGATGCATGCTCCCCGCGCTCCAGTGGTCCCGTGTCAGAAGGCGGAGTTTTCGAAAGGAGGCCGCCAAAAATAAAAGGCAAAGAGACGGGATCGGCTGCAGCGGTTTCCCAAAGGAGGAGGGAGTGTGCATCGGTCTGGTAACAAACAGAGAATGTTTTTTAATTATTTATATCAGCAAAAATCTGTGTTTTATCTAGGATATTTTCTGAATATTCTTTGTAAAATGCAGATTTTTTCCACAAAACATTAGGATTCTGTTATATACTTAAATTTGTTTGTTTAAGTAGGTTAAAAAAGATACATTTAGCTGAAAGCATTACACTAACATTTACATACTTTAAGCATTAGGAGGTTATTCAGCCCAATTCCCAGCAGTGGACAGAACATTAAACTTGTGTCTCAAGGTTTCATGGTTTTTTCCCACACTCTTTGGCTATTTCATTTCCCAGGTTACATAGACAATCTTTGATAATTGAAGCAAGTTAACTGAGTTATAATAACCTTGAGTTGAGCAAAAATCTTCATTTGGCAGAGCTGGGCTTGGTAGTACAGTGAAATTTTAGTGTAATGTGCTCTTGTGATCATTGAAAGAGGAAAGATAATTTGGACATTTCCGCAAAGGAAACTAGATGTGTACTTGGGCTTTGGTTGGTTTTTTAAAATATGAGAGCAAAAAAAATCTTTTGATTCAGTCTTCTTAAAATGTAGTAATAAAGTATATAGTTTCTTTTTTTCATTTTGCTCTGTGACTGGTTTAAAGGTAAGTTTGTTAAATTTCTGGTAGATTCTGCCAGGCTTCTCCCAACAGAGTAGAAGTGATTTGGCCTTATAACTTAATGGTGGTACCATTTTCTTCTCCGTTCCAGTTTTGGCAAGGGTAGAGCTGGAGTACGGTGTAACTCCTGTCAGTATATTGGATTAAATTACTGAAGAGGCAGGAGTTTGGATGGCAGAGTGGGATCCCCTTAGGATTTTACAGATGATAAAGTTGCCAGTTCCTGTGCATGTCCCAAGAATCAGTAATCCTCTTTTACTCTGTTGGGATGAGTCTTTTTTTTTTTTTGTTCCTGTTCAGAGTGGTTACTAACTTAATCTTCTCTCCTCTTGCTGTCATCTGCATTCGTGCTTTCCACCTGTTGTTGGCATGTCCTTTACCTTCTCTTTCCCTGCCACGTCAATCCACACACCAACTCGCCGTCGGCTTTGAAGATGTGGAAGATGTCAAGTTTGTTATCAACTATGACTATCCAAACAGCTCAGAGGACTATGTGCACCGCATTGGCCGAACAGCCCGTAGCACCAACAAGGGCACTGCCTACACCTTCTTCACCCCAGGAAACCTCAAGCAGGCCCGAGAATTGATTAGAGTGCTGGAGGAAGCTAATCAGGCTATCAATCCAAAACTGATGCAGCTGGTGGACCACAGAGGAGGCGGCGGAGGAGGGGGTAAGGGTAAGTCCTGGAGTTTTCCAGGTACTGCCAAGGTATCTTTCTGTAATCATTGTGCCTAGTTGTTTTTTAATTCTGTGAAGGCCTTAAGTATGTTACTTAATAACAAAGACAGTGCTTAATAGTTTTGCATTCCAAGTAATGCAAATAGTTTTGCTTCCAAGTAATGCAAAAAATAGTTTTGCTTCCAAGTAAGATAGTGTGATTGACCTACTTTTTCAGTGTGATATTTCTGTAAATAAGATAAAACTGACCTTTGTATTTTGGGGTACATGGTGTGTGTTCAAAATTAAGCTGGGTTATGATTACTCTAATATACATAATTTAACACCACTTCATGGTGGTAAAACAGATGTAGCTATTGGGTCTAAAAATTAGCTGCAAAATGGGATAGTAGGATATAGGCCTCCTGACTATCATTTTGGTATTACTTCTTTCCCCCACTTACTGCATGTTTAAACTCTTACGTCAGAATTACTTGAGAGGTTTTATGAATATAGGTTTGGGGATTTGTTGTTGTCGTTTTAAGTGGGTTTAGAATTGAGCTAGGAAGCTGACCTTTTCCTAAAGGCTCTGAGATGTTTCTGATGCAGTTAGGACCACAAAGCGACACTTGAGAAGCATCTGCACTAGTGGAGGGTCCCTTTCTTTGTGGTGGTATGAGTTTAGCTGTTTGTCCTTTTTCCTTTTTCAACCTGTGCTAAGTCACATAACCTTTTTGCCATTGTTCTACATTTTTAAAGATTGTTTCTTGGTAATCCTCAAGGAAAGAAAGGTCCTAAATGGGTAGGAAGTTGAGTATTCTTAATGTTTACCATTTCGTTGAATATGTTCCATTAAAAATTCGAATTATGAGTATGGGTTGTTTTGTTGTTTTGGGGTTTTTTTTGTTTTTCTCATTTAGTTTTAGAGAGGGGGGAATGGAGGGAAAAAGAGGGAGAGAAACATCGATGTGTGGTTGCCTCTCACGAGCCCCCCCATTGGGGACCTGGCTCGCAACCCAGGTGTGTGTCCCGACTGGGAATGGAACCAGCAACCTGATGTTTCACAGGCTGGCACTCATTCCACTGAGCCACACCAGCCAGGGCTCTAGTATGTTTTTTAAGTACTGATGCAGAGGCTGGGCTAGCTAAAAATTGAGAAAGAATATTGAATACTTTTGTACCTAGGAGAGTGTTTACATTTTGTTATGTTTGGATCATACGTCTAGCATTAAAAATTCATTGTATCCTTCATCAGGAGGTCGTTCTCGATACCGGACCACTTCTTCAGCCAACAATCCCAATCTGATGTATCAGGATGAGTGTGACCGGAGGCTTCGAGGAGTCAAGGATGGTGGCCGGAGAGACTCTACAAGCTATCGGGATCGTAGTGAAACCGATAGAGCTGGTTATGCTAATGGCAGTGGCTATGGAAGTCCAAATTCTGCCTTCGGAGCACAAGCAGGCCAATACACTTACGGTCAAGGCACCTATGGTGCAGCTGCTTATGGCACCAGTGGCTATACAGCCCAAGAATATGGCGCTGGCACTTACGGGGCTAGTAGCACCACCTCAACTGGGAGAAGTTCACAGAGCTCTAGCCAGCAGTTTAGTGGGATAGGCCGGTCTGGGCAGCAGCCACAGCCACTGATGTCACAACAGTTTGCACAGCCTCCAGGAGCTACCAACATGATAGGTTACATGGGGCAGACTGCCTACCAATACCCCCCACCTCCTCCTCCCCCTCCTCCTTCACGTAAATGAAACCACTCAAGTGGTGTGACTTGTGCAGACTTGCTACATTTAAAGGAACGCTGTCTTTCCCTTCTTTTCTGTTCCCTTCTCTATTTTATTTTTTTCCCCTCCAACCATTGTGATTTGTCTTTCATGCAGATTAGTTAGAATTCACTGCCACGTTTCTTCTGCCCGCCAAATTGATCCAGTCTGTAATAATAGGTTTTGTAAAAAATATATATATATAGCCGACTGGAAAAACCCCCTCCCCCAACTTCTTGCATGTTGAGGATATTTGAGCTATTTTTCATCTAAAAAGAAAAAGCAAGCTATTAGGCCCTTTTATGGGAGCCCTTTTTTGTTGTCCTGAGTTGGGGCTGTGTGGGGAGGGTAAAGGGGTGAGTTGTGCAGAAGAAGATGGCATCTGTGCTTTAAATTGCTCTCATTGCTGAGTTGGAAACCAAGAGGGAGAGCTCCCTGCACATTTTCCATGATGCTTTTTAATGTTTCCCAAGCTGGAACAGGGTTGGTCAGGCCTGATGAGTTTTTAAGACAGTGCTTTGCCATTGTCATTTTGGCTGATAGCTCTTTTTTTATTTTTATTTTTTAAGTGCATTCACAGCTTTAAAAAATTCTTAATTGGTTTTGTCTCCCTTGTACTCTGCCCTCCCCCTTCCCAGTGACTGAAAAATAACCATTTTAGTGTCAGGTTAGAAATTAAATTGCCAAGTCTGAGTATTTTAAGTGTATCTTTTAAATTAAAACCCCCCCAGTGTTTATTGCAGTGGTTAAATGTGGCATCTCAGCATCTGGGTGGAACCTGCCTGTTTTTCTTCCTCGTATAAACAGGGACCATCAGTGAAACTCACTTTTTAACCAGACAGCTGCTGTGAGCAGAGTGAATATAAGTGCTCACTGGAAATGTACTTCATTAACCAGTTAAGTATGCATTCACTTACAGTGTAAAAACCACCTTTAATTATAAACAGTATACTCAGTGGGCAAATTTTCTTTTTAAATTCTGTAGAGCTAGAAGAAAAGCAGCTCTTAGCCAGCTACCCAGCCCTTTGGCCAAGTTATCTTGAATAAAGAATTTTGAGGGTTTGTTAAGAAGGAACTCTTATTCTCTTCATACTCTGTTCTCTGCAGTGCTTTGTAACAGCTTTTGGATGCAAACTTCCCTCGGCATCCTTTTGCACTCAGCTTTTTACAGGTAGGTAGTGCTTAGGAAAAGTTAGAGGACTAAAACTGTCCTTGTACTTTTCCTGCATCTGAAGGTAGGTGAGTCTGTCCCATGTGTAGTAATAACATTGACTGTTTTGCTCAGACTTTCTATAACAGATCTGGGAAGAATTTTCTGCTCTTGTGTTTGCTACAACAGGACAGGGAGATCGGACAGCCGCAGAAACCTCTTCCATACCTAGTGTGAGGCAGTGTTTAATGCTGTCATTACATTAGTATTCATTCTCAGTGCAGTTAAAGGGGGAAGGCTCCACTGCATTCTTTGGCTAAGGCCTGAGAGTGCTGGCTGGTTCGTAAGATCCCAATATCTAAATACTTGAGGTTTTTTGTTTTTGTTTTCCTTTTGAAATTCTTCAGGGAGAGAGAAGGGATTGTTTCTGAGGGGTTCTGAAAGTTTGGTTGAATATGCAGCGTACAGGTAGGTTGTCAGCATGAGTTGAAATACATGCATCTGAAAATTGACATCTCTCTGCCCCTCCCCCCTTTCTTCCTGAACTCTCTTTCCACACCCCCACCCCTTACAGAAGTTGAGGCCGAAGGAGGGAGGACAGTAGGCACAGGAAAATACGGCAGAACTGCTTTGTGCTTTAAACCAAAGTGTTCTTCCTCTCAAAAAAATTTTTAAGCAGTGACCACCAGTTCATTGTAGACATTTTTACATGCAAAATTGTTTGTTGTTTTTTTTTTTAAACAGGTGCCACCAGAGGGACTGTTACACTCTTGCAGGTCTTAAAAGTGACTCTTTTTGGGAGAGGTCTCTGCTCTCTTTTTTTCCACCAGGGATGTTACATAGTCGAAATAACAGCGTGTTCCAAACCTCAACAGCTGTTGTAGCCTGAGCACAGCTGGAATCTAGCAGCTTTTCCTAGCGCTCTAGAGTAACTAACTGCCTCCGTGTCGGTTGCTCAGAATTGAGGTTCTGCCTCTTTCAGAACATAAGCAGAAGAGATCTCATGGGCTGCTAGGTTTTGTGGTCATAGTTCAAACTCATTTAAGAAAAAGGATTTCAATGTTAAACTATGGGGCTGTTTCGCCCCAATCCCTCCCCAACAATTCATGTGTGGAGTTCTCTCATCTAAAAGGTTGGTGGCTTTTGCTTGGGATCAGTGCTTTCTATTCATGTCCTTGCTGGTCTCTGAACACATTCCTGTTGCGTTAAGACTTGAAAGATTTGTAGATGTGTGATGTTCAGGCACAGGATGCTAAGAGCTATGTTGTTATTCTTAGTTTGTAAATTGTCCTTTTGATACCATCTTGTTTTCTTTTGTAGGTATAAATAAACACTGTTGACAATAAGGTGTGAACTTTTTATTACTCAAAAATTCTGACTAGTTCAATGGCAGTTAGTACTTACTCCTTAAGAGGTTTTATTTGCTTCAAAACCAGGATTGGGAGTGTTGGAAATTGCTTTAGCACCTAAAAATGTGAAGAAGGTGGGGTGGATTGGTGGCAGTGCAGAAATTTGAGTTAACAAAGCAATGCCCAGCAGGTAAAGCCCTGGGCATCCGATTCCTCCTCAGTAAATGGTTGTGCTAGTGGCACCCTCCTAGGATTGTTACTTGGATTAAACACTGGGTATGAAACTAGTTCAGTCTTGCCAAAGCTTGTAAGTTTGTGGCTTGCTTTGCATTCAGAGGGACAGCTTTCCGTGTGAGCCTCAAGGGTTTTTGATATTCTTGTTAACGTGTGGCACCACACTTGTGTGCTTCGCGCAGGTCTTTTGTTGCTTCTCTAAGGGGAGGTGGTGCTGAGGTCTTGTAGGTGGAATGGTCAGTGCTTTGCTGAAATCCATCCACACTGAGCATTTTTCTGGCATTAACATTGGTATGAGTCGCTCAGTAGAACATCTCAAATAGTTGGGTTTGTGTCCTTGTTCCTAGGGGTCTCAAATTGGCATCGGAAGACTTAACTTCTTTCCTTTAAGGACTAGAAGAAAAGGGAGATACAATTAGAAGTTTCTGTACTGATGAAAGAACTCCTTTATAAGTTTGTGCATGATATTAGTATCTCTAATGCCCAGTTCACAGCCATTCAGATGATAAAGCCAAGGAGGAAAGTTAATTGCAATCTCACTGACCTCCATCTTGGTGACAATACCAGTACCACCACCCCCTTAGGCCATAAGTTTAGTGTCTGATGCCTTAGTCCACATTCATTGATTCCATCAGCGATCCCTCAGTTGAACTAACATATCTGTCCATGTCTCAAATTTCCACTGATGGCCTTTCCTGGATGATTGTAATTCCCTAAAACTAGTTTCCTGCTTTGGCTGCTTGTGGATTGGTCATTGAAATGACTCCAGTAGAGAGTGCAATGTAAATCCCTTACCCTGGCCTGTACTGATCTTGCTTGATGTCTGATATGACCAGGTTTATAGATCTCAACCATATTACCCTTTTTTGTCTTTAATCACACCAAGCTGGCTCTTGCTTTGGGGTCTACCTATAAGCTGTCCCCGGAATGGTTTTCTGTATTTTTCAGGTCAGAATGGGTCTTTCTGTACATCCTATTTGGGCTGTGTTTTTGTGGCACCATTTCCTGAAAATACAAGTTTGTCTTCGCCCATTAAGATAAGCAGCACGAGCCTTGCCTTATTCACACTTGCATATTCCCTCAAACATTACACAGGTGAGCACTTTGGGCCAGTGCCAACAAGACTGCTGTATTCTCCCAGTACCTACCTTTGGTCACGTATAAGTAGAAGAAGTCGCAGTAGAAAATGGTTTGTACCACCCCAGACACTACTGCAATTTGGTCATAGAAATTCTCAGTCTGGTACCGCCTGATCCAGTTAGCTAGGTAGAGTGCCCGGTATAGCCCAAGGAAGAACAGGTAGTGAGTAGTGATGGTCTCGGCCTCTCCCGTCTTGCTGATCATGAAAAGCTGGGGCAGGATGGCCACTGACTCCAGGTAGATAGAGAAAGTCCAGAGGATCTAAAACCAAGGAGATAATAGCAAGAGAGAGTTGGTCAACACCAAGAAGGGGTCCCTCTCTTCAAAAGAATTACTAAACTATTAACTGGAGGGAATACAGTGAAGTAAAAGATAGTGTTCATAGTTTTTAATATTTTAATATATCATTACACCCCGTTTAAAAAGCATGCTTTTTTCACAATTTTTAATTGTTGCTGAATTTTATTGTAAAACCTTGATTGAGGCCATGGTTTCTCAGAATACAGTTCGTGAACACCGGCACCAGGATCTCCTGAGGTGCCTATTGGGCTACAGCTCAGACTCACTGAGTTGAACTCGGCCTGGACCGTGCTCTGGCGTCCACCAATCACTTGTTGGACAGAAGGTCTCAGGAGCCGTAAGTGGCCCTGTGATGCTTTGTGTGTGAACCTCACTAGATGTGCCCATTTTCAAATCGAGTAGTGGTAATAGCTTGTTGCTAGTTCTTAAATTTAGAGCTTAACAATATGAGTAATAGTTCTTTTAACAATAATAGTCACGGTTGTAACAAAGCAAGCCACCAGCACCATCCCCACCCACTGAAAAAAACAGACTTTATAAGAGTCCAGAGGGCAGGATGTTAGGGAGCACGTTTGCATTTGAGCATTAGTACCCTGGGGTCCTTACCTCCAGGGGAGTGAAACTGTAGTTCTCAAGGAAGGAGAGGCCAATGACTGGGACCAGAAGAAACTCCAGGCGGAATGTGTCATTCTCACTGTCGAAGGTTTTCCGAAATTTCCCATAGATCATGTACACTGTGACATAGGCGCAGAGAAGAAAAACCACCTAAAAATAGAGACAGGTGGGAATTGATGAAGTCATTTCCCAGCCTACTTGCTGGGCTTCAAAGCCACCTTGAGTTGGGACCTACCAAACCTAATGGCTAGCGTCCTGCCTTAAGGTCCCACTAAGAGGTGAAATGGGTTTGCCATTTTTCTTAGGCCCAGAGGTCTAGAACCTGCTGCTAATGACCCTTTGTTAAGTGTTCCTAATTGGGACTGACAGTGCTGCATGAAGACTGAAGGTGCCCGGGCCCCTCCTCACTGTAAAGCTGTAGGCAGAAAAGCCCACCCAGGTCGGTCTTTGTGACAGGCTTTAGCGGTGGCATTCTGAGGTGCTTTTAAAACCTCAACTTCCTAGGCAGCCATTGGGGACTTAGCTTCTTTCACAGGGATTAACAGCCTTTGATCACCGCTCCTTCAGAAAAGCCCTCTTCTAATAGCAGCGGCCCTCCAGCATATGATTTCAGGATCTGGTCTCCAACCTTCTGCGCCAGTGGTTCTCGAACTTGAATGTGCATCCAAATCACACAGCAGATGGCCCCTGCCTCCAGTTTCTGCTTCACTAGGTCTGAGTGGGCCTGTGAATTTAAATTCCTAGCAAGTTTCTATGTGATGCTGAAGCTGGTGGTCAGACCACACTGGCCTAGAGAATTATTTGTACTTTAAAAACTCAGGTGATTTCCTCAGTCTTTTCTCATGAGAATGAAGCACATGTGCTGTCACCATAGCCCTGTGTAGAAATACTGCCACCCACAAGCACAGGCTCTGTAAGTGTTGGAGTGACAGCCTGTCCCCCAGCAGGGGATGGTACCTCTTACAGATAAGAGGGACCATGTCCTGTCCACGTCTGAATTTCCAGCTCCTAATTCAGGGCCCAGCACAAAACAAATGCTGGGATGAATGAATGAGTCCAGGAAGTGCCGATCACCTCTCCATCTCATAAAAACAGGGAAACTGACCTCTGGTTCCTAGACCTCATTCAGCCTCTCCAGGGGCTAGGTCTGCAGGGCACAACAAGCAGAGGGTGAACTCAGCAGGTGGTGTGTACTACTTGTGTGTTAAATTTAAGAGGACAGTGATTTCAGGGCGTCAGACCGAGGTTCACACTGACTTCAACATCCCACAGTAAACAGCAGCCTCCCTTCCACCAGCCCTAGGAACAAGACGCCTGGAACCGCAAAGGGACATCTTTGATATGGAGGAGACAGAACTCACTTCGGTTAAATAGCTATGGGTATTAGGCATTTTACATCTACACACATTATCTCCTGTAATCTTCTGGTAGCCCTGCAAGAGAGGTAGGATTCCCTCCCATGTAGCCTTTTCTTCATTTAAAACAGGACTCCTATTAGAAATTGTGCCCACCTAAAAACTCCCAGCCTCCTCTGCAGGTAAGGATGGTCAGTGATGTCTATGGAAGTCACTGGATAGAGTGTGTGAAAGGCTATTTAAACAGGGTTTGCCCAGCTGGCAGTCATCCTACTGCCCTTTCTCTCCTTCCTGCCCCAAATGATGGAAGGAGCTCTAGTATCCATTCTGTGACTCTAAGGCAGCCATAAGGACTATGTCATTGACAGGGCCTCGTGTTCAAATATGAATTTCAAGATGGCAACAGCAGAGTCAAACCAAGCACGGGGTCCTGAGCAACCGAAGGACACCCACAAGTGTCCTGGTCACATTCAAGATGGCAGAGCAGGAGGTTACAAGGAATTGCCACCTCAGCCCTGGAGTGCCCACAGACTGCACGTTATGAGTGAGGACAAAATAAACCCTTATCGAAAGAACTCTTAAGTCTGTTACTAATATCTAGGCAGTTACATCCCATTTTACTGACTCTGGAACCTGGTTCCTTGCACAGCTCTACACTGCCTTAAAGGGCTGGGATAGCAGGCGGAAGCTTAGAAAAGGCCTCACTTCAACACAGTCCCGCAGTTACTGCCCAGGGCCTGTGACGTGAGAGCGAAACCCGGAGATGCTGTTTCTCCTTCTGTAAAATGGCCGTCCTTCAAAGCAACACTTCCCATCGTGAAGTTAAATCCAAACCAGTCACCATACCACCTTGCCCTCACCCAGTCTCCCCACCACCGGCGGGCAGCCCTCGCCTGCTGCGCTCCCACCACACTGGCCTTCTGTCTGTCCTTCGAGGGCACCAAGCTTGTTTCATCCTGCGGGTCTTTGTACCAGCTACTCCTGCGTAGAACGCACTTTCTCTGACCTACACACGGCTGGTTGGTTCCTTATGTCACTTAGCTCTCAGCTTGCATGTCACCTCTTCAGAAAGGATATATATATATAATTTTTTTTTTTTTTACACAGGCGAAAGAAGGGAGAAAGGGAGAGGAACATCAGTGTGTGGTTGCCTCTCATGAGCCCCCTACTGGGAACCTGGCTCCACAACCCAGGCATGTGCTCTAGACAGAGAATCGAACCAGTGACCCATTGGTTTGCGTGGACCAGCACTCAATTCACTGAGCCACACCAGCCAGGGCTGTAACCCTACTTATAAAAAATTTTAAGTAATTGAATCTAAATTCCAAGTCCCTGGCACATAGCCCAGCACAAAACAAATGCTGGGCAAATCACCCTATTTTATTTTATTTATATTTTAAAATATTTATTTATTTTTAGATAGAGGAATGGAAGGAGAAAGAGAGAGAGAAACATCAATGTGTGTTTGCCTCTCATGCGTCTCCCTACTGGGGACCTGGCCTGCAACCCAGGTACATGCCCTGATTGGGAATCGAACCAGCAACCCTCTGCTTCACAGGCCCGTGCTCAATCCACCGAGCCACACCAGCCAGGGCAAATCACCCTATTTTAGTTAGTTGTGTAGCCTTAGCCGTAACCCTAACCAAAGTTTTTCTCGTTTGTTTTATTATCTCTCCCCCCAGTTCAAATGTAGTGTCTATGAAAACAGGAGCCTCGTATGTCTTGCTCAGGTGTCTGGCTCAGTTGGTGCTCAACAAGTATTTGTCGGATGGATGGTTGAGTAAGTTCTTTGAAAGCTCAGGGCACCATGTTGGATTTTTTTGCTTATATTTTTAACCAGTATTAATAGCTAACATTTACTGAATGTTTAATATATGACAGCTACTGTGCATTTACTTTTATTACCTTGTTTAATTTGCACAACAAAACTTGGATCTAGTATCTTCATTTCGCAGAGGAGGGAACTGAGGTACACATAGAGGCCCGAGGTCTCGCCCAAGCCTAGGTCCCGCAGCAAGGCTAGGACTCTGACCAGGCCCACCTGGCCCATGGCCTGGCTGCCCAAGCGTCCCCTTTCAGCAGGCCCCACCGCCACGGCCTCCCGCCCCTCACCTTCATGACCGTGTTGTAGATGGAGATGAAGTTGGTGAACAGGTCCAGGTACCTGGTGGTGAAGACGAGGGCGAAAAGGATCTGGCTCTTCCCAGAGATGCCTGTGGCCAGAGGGGGACAGGAGACAATGAGGACACGGAGTCCCCAGCCCGTGCATGGTGAAGAGGCCTGGAGCCTGTGCAGGAAAGCTCTCCAGAGCGTCCAGCCGCCTTCCATGACGACGGTCCCCAGGCACTGGGGCGCCCAAGGAGCAGGAAATGCCCCTTCTCCTGAGGGTTGGGGGTGCTCCACCCCCACAGCCCTACTGATGATCCCCAAAGCTCTGTCTTCACCCAACCCACCCAACCCACCATCCCCAACCGCGTCTGCCCTGAACTGCCGTCCACGCCACTGCTTTCTCACCTCCTCCGGCTGCTTCTGTCCTGCTCGCCGCCTAACCCTTGCCACCTAAACCTCTCATCTCCCTGTGCCCTTTGCCGTCACAGCCCACGTGCCAGGGACGCCCCAGCTGTGGACACTGCTCCCTGTCCTGACCTGCACATCCCTGCCAGACCAAACTCATCAGACCCTCCTGAACCCCCTCTTTTCCTGTCTCCTTTCCCTCGTAAAGGTCACTACACCCCTCAACCCTAAAGCCAGAAAACCAAGAGCCATCCTTGCGTCTCTCCCCTTGGCCCCTCCCACTCCCTGCTTCTCGTGGCCATAGCTCCCACCCCGGTGCCCCTCACTGGCCCAGCCTCCCCACCTCAGTGACCCCCCCAACGGGCCTTCGCAAGTTTCTCCTGCTGCCCATCCCTCCCCCACTTCCACCCAGTGGCCAGTGGGCTATTTGTAAAATAAAATTCTGCTTAAAGCCCTTAAGTGGCTCCCAAGGGCCCTTAAAATAAAGAACCAAATCCTCTGCATGGCTCTCAAGGGCCTGTCCAGGTTGCCCCCCACCCACTGGGGGCCCCACATATGAGCACTCCTCCCTCCCCCCTCCCTGCAGGCCTGGCAACACCACGGCATTCTATCCTAAAAGTAATGCAGCGACTGCCGAGTTGGGCACCGAGAACTAATATTACCTGATTCGGGGCCTGGCTCCTTCCTATGCACAGGGTTTTTATTTATTTATCTTTAGAGAGAGGGATAAGGAGGGAGAAAGAGGGACAGAAACATCAATGTGAGAGCGCAACATCGATCAGCTGCTTCTTGCAGATGCCCCGCAAACCGAATCCACAACCCAGGCATGGCCCTGAGTGGGATTGAATTGGCAATGACCTTTTGCTTTGTAGGACAAAGTCCAACTAACTAAGCCACACACCAGTCCGGTCAGGGTGGGGTGAGCGGTCTTGTTGGTGACCAAAGATGAACACCGCTGAAGCCCCTAGCATTCCTGAGAGTGCTGGGTCTGTGCCCCAGCTTTCCGACTAGGGTGGCAAGCCTCAGCCTCACAGTCACCTGTAAAATGTGGGCAGGACGGGTGTGAGGACTAAGGAGCACTCAGGGGGAACGCGAGTGCCTCCCCGGGGGGCCTGGCCCTGCAGCCGGGGTGGGAGTGAGCCCCTGGGGGAGGTGACGCGGACCAGCTCTGGGCGATGCCCATTGCCGCTCCCCCTCACTGAACCTTCACAGAGGCCTTGCCAGGAGGCCCTCAGCCCCGTGCAGCAGGGTCTGGGCCCAGCCCTGGTGGGGGACCCTTGGCTGGCCCTCTGACTCGGCCTCCCCCCACCCTTGCCCCATCTCCATCCTCAGCCTGTCCGGCCCCTGGGCTTCACTTGCATGTTCCTCGGTGAACGGGAGCCCCGATGATCCGGAGTATCCGGAGTACAATGGTTTCCGCGCAATTCTGAAAGCAATGACTAGTTTCCACCAAGGCCAGCTGAGCACGGAGACTCAGGATATGGAAGAGAACGCGGGCCCGCAGTTGGCCGGAGTCCCTGAGGGCTCCTAAGCGCAGAGGGGACAGAGGACCAGGTGCCGCCCTCCCTCACAATTGACAGATGAAAAAACCCAAGCCCAAGGTCACACACTGAGTCAGGGGCAGAGCCAGACAAAGCCCCAGTCCCTTGCTGCCTTCAGAGCTGAGTCAGTGGGGTCACATCATGCCCTGCTGCTCAGGCTGATGGGGTGGCATCCAGGCACCGCACCTTTGCAGACTTCAGGCAGGCCTGTGTCAATCCCTCTGCACACAGCCACCGGCTGTCCCTTCACTTCCCATATCGCTGAGCTACAAAACCGCTGCTCGCTGGCGGTCTTCCACTGCTGGATCGCCAGCTTCCCAGGCCAGGATCCTGCCTGCGACGCCCCTGCTACATGCCAGGGGCCTAGTCCAGCGCCCCCTCCTGGTCATGGTTGTGCACCCAGCCTAGGGTCCTCCGTGGCAGTGCAGGGACAAGTCCAAGCCAAGCTCCTCCCCTCATCGAAGCCTTCTGCACCCCCATCTCCTGTCTCAGCATTCTGGCCCCCTTCGGCAGAGTGGGGGCTGTGAGTGCCTGTCTTTCCAGAAACCCCAAATCAGAATGGCCTCCTGATCTGGAATCATTCCTTTTGCAGTGACCCTCCCATCAGCACCCAGCCCTCATCCCCACAAGCCTCCTAAACTGGGGGTCTCCACACGGCTCCCTCTGCCCTGGCTCTCGGATCCTCCACACAGCTTGCAGCCCCCTTCGGAAACCCAGTCCCTCACTCCCAAACCTCTGTGGCTCCCCAGTCCCAGCTTGGCGGACAGGACCCTGGCACATGCGGACCACCCTCTCCCTAGCCTCACCTCCCTCCCGGACCAGCCCCAAACTGGGCCGCTCCCCCTCGCAGGGACCTGCTGCGCTCTCTGTGCCCTCTGGACGTTTGCACCCCCTTGTCCTTCATACAGCGCACCCTTCCTGGGTGACGCCCTGCCCACCCTCTAGGACCCAACGCAGACCTGCTCTGTCCCAGAAGCCTTCAGAGAAGGCTTCAGGGTGAGCTCCCCGCCTCCTCGGCCCCAACAAGGAGCCCACACTCATGTGCCCATCCCCTCACCCCCGTGCCAAACCCAGGGTGATGCCGGCAGGACCTCACAGACAGAGACGGCTGCAGCAGGCCTGGGCAGCCTCTGAATGCACCGGGCCTGTGTGGCCAGCACCGGTCCAGCTCCAAAAACCCTCCAAACCCCCAACAGGGCAGCCAGACCCCTCCTGTGCTCCCCAGGCTTCTGCTCAGGTGCCTGTCTGGGCAAGGCTTGGCTCCTGCCACATCACAGACGCCTGTGCCACAGCACAGGGAGGGGGTGGGGTGGGGGGTCCTTGGAGGATGTGGAGGGGGCAGGCGAGTGGTGTGGGGACAGAAAGAAAGCCCGTCGAGGCACCTCCGTGGAGGCACCTCCGTGCTCCCACCTCTTCTGAACTGCCCCCCCCACACCCGCCCCAGGCCTGAGGGAGGGTGGAGAGAACAATGGGCCTCAATTCCTGCTTCTCCGGTGGAGCAAAGGGGATGCCTCGAGGGAGGGGTGTCACCTACCCTTGTCCCCCTCCTCTTCCCACTAGCCTTGGCAAAGGGGGAGGGGGACGGGCGTTGTGAGGGAAGGAAAAGCACGTGCCCACCCTCCTCCACAATCTCCAGGGTCCTCCTTCTTTGATACGGTCCAACTTTAAATTTTCTTTGGAAGCTGAGCTGTGCAAACTGTTTCACCCCCAGCGGAAGTCCCCACCCTGAGCAGACGTCAAGAGGTCCCTCCAAACCCTGCAGGCAGGGGGTGTGGGGCTGGCCCGCCGAGGCGCGGCGGCCCGGGCCCCGGGTCCTCCGCCTCCCGCCCGGGTCGCCCCTCACCTGCGCAGCACTTCGACCTCCAGATCTTCCCCAGCAGCAAGATCATGGCCAGGAGGTGGCTCAGGTCGCCGAGGATACGGAACACGTTCATGGTCCAGCCCGCCGGCCCCGCTCCCGGGCGCAGCCAACTCCTGGGAAACTTTCTGGCGGGCGACGCGGCTGCCACGTCCCCGGCCCAGACTGTGGGTCGCGCGGCCCCCCGTCCGCGCCTCCGAGCTCCGAGCTCCGAGCTCCGCCAGGTGCCAGCGCTCAGCCAGCGCGCTCTCGGCCGGGCGGTGACGTGGCCAGGCCGGCCGCGGACCAGGGAGCCAGGAAGCGCCGCCGCCCGAGGTCCCGCCCCCGGCCCGGCCCAGAGCCTGGGCTCCCGGGCGGGCGGGCGGGCGGGGCGGCCTGGCCGGGCGGGGGGCTTCCGGCCCGGGGTCCGCCGCCGACGCGCGGAGAGGCTGGGCCCGGCCCGGCCTCCTCAGAACCCGGGTCCTCCGGCAGATGGCCTCGGGCAAGCCAGCGGCCCCCTCGGTGCCTCAGTTCCCTCGTCAGTACTTAGTGCCGGTAACCTCGGTGCCGGTGCCGCGCGAGCCTGGCCGGCTGGAAGCACCCGGTGCGCAGTGACCCACTGCTGTCGTCGCCATCCTGGGTTTGACCTCGGACGTCCCCGGCCCCCATGTTTATTCGCGTAGCCGCCTTGTCCTGACCTGACCTATCAGATGGGAGCATTGGAGGGAACCTCGGGACCCTTAGGTTGGCATCAGGGTGACCTCCCTCCTGCCTCCCTCTTCTCGGTGTGACGAGACGCAGAACTGGAGCACATGCCCTCACTGGTGTGGCTCCGGCGGCTGGGCTTTGTGCCCACAACCGAGGGATGGAGGGGTCGGGTCGCTGGCTGGATTCCCCTCCAGGGCACATGCCCGGGTTACAGGCCAGGCCCCCAGCTGGGGGGGTGTGAGGAGCAACCGATCCACTTCTCTCTCACAAGTTGATATTTTTCTCCCTCTCTCTCCCTCTCTCCCTCCCTCCAACTTCTCTTTTAAAATAAATAAATAAAATCTTTTAAAAAACACAGCGGGAGCACAGGCCAGGAAAGACTCTAAGGAGCTTCGGGGTGGGGGCTGTCAGCTAGAAAGCAGGGAGGCAGGAAGGGTGAAGTGAAGGGTGCAGGGCCAGGGCCGGGCAGGAGTCCTCCCAGTGCTGTGTGGCCTCAGCAGTTCAGTCACCCTCTCTGGTCTCTGCCTCTGTAGGAGCGGACCATCCGAGCCAAGGGGCCTACCCACCACTACCCTCTTCCCTTCTCCCACTTGGGACCTTAATCCCTCCCTAAGTTACTGGCCTCCCACGAGCTCTACTCACGCCCCTTCATGACCCCTCATCCCGACGTCCTGGGCATGGCAGTCCTCGGGAACTCAGAACGTCGTCCCAGGGCCAGCTCATGTGCTTCACCCTCTGGGAACTTGGGATCCCGGCCCCGGCCAGGCCTGCTGAATCGGAAGCTTGGGTTAAACGAGCCCCCTGGGTGATTCGTGTGCACGCGAAAGCTTGAGAGGCCCTCATCCGAACAGCACCACCAGGGAGGCACAGTTATTATTTCCATTTCACGCTGCGGAAATTGAGTCACGGAGAGGGTAAGTAGTTTGCTTAAGATCACAGACACTGAACGGTGGAGCCTGGATTCCAGCCCACACTCTGACTTCAAGGTTCATGCAACTGGCTCGTCACGGTACACGGTGCAGTGTCATGGCAGGTGCGGAGCTCCCTGTCATGAGAAGTGGGGGGATGGGGGTGAGGTCCCATTTGTTGGGGATGCTGCAGTGGGGACCCCCGCCCTGTCACAGAGGCTGGGTGACAACAGCAATCGAGAGGTGAGTATCTGCTGGGTGCCAGCATGAGTCAGACGAGTTAGGAAGGTTCCCTCCATTTGGCCCCCACGGGCACCCTCTGAGTACCCTTTCAGTTCCACTTTGCAGGTGGTGGCCGCTGAGGCTTGAGGAGGTGAGGCAGTCGGTCGGTCCAAGTGCCTCTGGTAGGAGGGGCCAGACAACCAACCATCCTGGGGCTGCGGCAGGTTCTGAATGGGCTGCTCCGTTCGCTGCTCCCCCCACCACCCTGCCCAGATGCCCTGCCTCCCGCTAGTTCCCCAAGAAGGTGGTGGCTATTTAAAACCTCAGGTGTGGCTACACTTCTCGCTGCCCAACCAGCTGGCATCTTCTCAGCGCCCACCTCCTGCCCAAGCCTGGGAAAAGCATGTGCATTTGCCATTTGGTGAAACAGCTGCCCTCCTGAGAAGCAACTCAAGTGCCAGCGGAGGCTGGAACAAGGCTAGAAAGCTCCTCTTTGCTGTTTCTCCAGGGGCCGCAAGGGAACCGGCCAAGGCCAGGGCAGGTCTGCAGAGTGACCACTACAGGGGCAAAAGGAAAAGAACTCAGGCTAAGCGGCCCCAGGGCCGAGATCTCGTCCTGGCCACTGCGGCCTGGAGCGTGGACTCAGCTTTCCCATCTGTTAATGGGGATAATGAAGTCAGAAGTATTGCTGAGTGATTACTTGGGCCTCTTTGTATCTGGTCTTCCCTATCATATCTGTACCCTCTGTGTCTCAAGACAGGGAACTCATGGCCCTTTCCAGATGAGGCTCCAAACTGAGGCTCAAACTTGTCTCTTGCCCCCCCCCCCGCCAGGACACGTAGAACTCATCTCCCCAAAGTTCTACCAGTCTCTCCTTAATAATCAAACCGCCTTTTTCATAACTAGCCCATCTTCAAGGTGGAACATTTCTCTTGTGTTTTTTAAAAGATTTTATTTATTTATTTTTTAGAGAGTGGGCAAAAGGAGAGAGAAATATCAGTGTGTGATTGCCTCTTGTGCGCCCCCTAGTGGGGACCTGGCCTGCAACCCTGACATGTGCCCTGACTGGGAATCAAACCAGTAACCCTTTGGTTCCTAGGCCAGCACTCAGTCCACTGAGCCACACCAGCCAGGGAAGGGTGGAACAGCTTTCAAAATCCCCCCTCTGCTCTCCCGTAGAGAAGAGGTAAAATCCTCCTCCTTTAAAACTCTTGGCTCCAGCCCATGCTGCCACATGGCCACCTGCACCATCAGATTCTACCTTCTCTCCTTTCATGCAACTCACCATCAGATTCTATTTGTCCCTGATGCCAGGTGGTTCCAGGGAAGTCCCGTACCCCTTCGTGCCTCACTTTCTTGACACTTATAATACGTCTGCTGTAACAACACAAGTGAGAAGAAGTCAGAAGGGGAATTTCCTTCAGCTCAAAGGGCAAGGATTCTTTTTCTTTTTTCATTAACAAAGCAAAACGTATGTTCAAAGTCAGATTTAAGAAGGAAAGAATGGGGGACTTGTTCAACTATTTTTAAAAAAATGTATGTAGCTCTGGCCATGTGGTTGAGTTGGTTGAAGCTCCAGAAGGCTGAGGTTGCTGTCGCTGGTCTGGGCACATTCCGAGGTTGCGGGCTCTGCCTCCAGTTGGGGTGAGCACAGAAGGCAACAGACTGATCTCTCTCTCTCTCATTCTCTCTCTTCCTCCCTCCCTTCCTCTCTCTCTAAAGTCAATAAACATATCCCCGGGGAGGATGTTTTTAAGTGTGCATAACCTTTTTCTCCTTCCTTGTTGTAGCCCTTTGGCATCTTCCATCACTGTGTTCGAATATCCATCCTGCCAGGTGCTTCCAATGGTGCGGAAGGAAGGAAAGCGTGCAAATCCCCACGCTGAGGACACTTCACCACTTAATCTGTGCCTCTGCCCCGCAGCGCCCTGGGAAGAAGGGGGAGCTGTGGGCTGGGTGTCCTGGGACCTCCCTCGGGTCCCTCGGGGTCGCTCGGGGTTCTCCCGGCCTCTGCGAGTGGACGCTCCCCGCGGAGGGAATGGACTCTTCCGAGGCGGCCGGAGGTCTGCGGTAGAGCCGCGGACGAGTCCATTCCCTAAATGAATGCGGTGGGCTGAGGACAGCCTTTCTCCCGCGGTCCCGCCCCTGCGAAGCCCTCCTCCTCTCCTCGAATATCTTTTGAGTGACACGTGACAGGGCCACTGCGGGTCCCATTTTTGCAAAGCGGGGAAACCAATGTTCCAAAACCTCTTCTCCGCTGTCAGTTCCAAATATTTCCTGAAAACCAGCTGTGGGGGGAGCGCCTTGCAGGTTGAGCTCAGAGGCAGCCGCGGGGAGCCCTTGGGCGCACTGTGGGAGGTGGGCGCTTCCGCGTGTACTGAACTAGCACAGAGGAAGGAGTCTTACCCTGGGCTGGGGAGAGTCTCAGGGGAGGATTTCAGTTAGGAAAACTCCAGAGGATGCCCTAGTGGGTTTTGAAGGATGAGTAGGAGCTTGTTTGCCTCAAGGACAAAACCTAGAGGAAAAGAGTCCCAAGTAGAAGGAATTACACGCACAAAGGGAGCAGAAATATCATACAACCCGCTCTCCCAGTGCATTTTATTTGTTGTATTCCTCTTTAAAAGAGGCCAACGACCAGGGAAAAGCGGGGCGGGGCGGGGGTGGGTTGTGATAAACGTCAAGGTTAGAAAGACCTTCGCTGGAGTCTCAGGGTCTATCATTTAGGCGATTTAGTCAAATCTCCCCAAGTCATAGTGTTCTCATCGGTAACCCGGGTATAAACCAAATAGTACTGACTGCGTAGGGCAGTAGGTTAGCTCAGTGTCGAAAGCGCTTTGCAAAGAGTAAACCATGAGACAAACGCAAGCCCTCGCTCCTCTTTACAGGACGTGGGGCCCATGGACGGCCGGGAAAAGAAACGGAAGCTTGTGTTCTTGGAAGGCGATCACTTCCCTTACCTATTTATTCCCGAAGAAGAAGAAGGAGAAGGAGAAGGAGAAGAAGAAGAAGAAGAAAGAAGATGAAGAAGACAATTATAAATAACGTCTAGGCTGGAGGAAGCCTTCCAGGGCGCTGGAAGTTGTCTGCACCTTGATCTGAGTGTTGAATACACGATGTATATATACATCACCATCTGTACTCTTCAGATGTATGTATTAGGTTACACCGTAAATAAAAAGAAAAACATAACAAGCCTAGCCACGACGCGAATCTCCCCTGGCCGCTGGCGACAGGTGTCTCTGAGATTCGGAAAGCCACTCTCCGAGTGCGGCGCGCGCCCAGCGCTCGCCGCCTGAAGTCGTGAGCTGAGCGCCCAGGCCCGGGCGAGGTTCCCAAGGCAACCGCATGCCGCTCTCCCATCTCCCGAGAGTCGAGGCGCCAGCGAAGACCCGGAACCCGGATTTTTAAACCGGAGCCAAAGAGCGCGGCTGGAGAGAGACTGTGGCTGGCCCAGTGCGGAGGGAAACGACT